AATTAAATACGTGACACAACGGTTGCGCAGAGGGGCGGGGAACGAGTACCTCGTAAGCACCACGGTGTTTTCGCGCGTGGTTTCTCTCCGCCGTTGTGTTCAGGCTATTTATATGTATACGCCCGAATGACTTATCCCATCTGTCGCTGCACATAGGGCAAGGGCGAGGAAAATTAGTCCTTCCCTGGCTGTATATAATTTACCTGGACCCTCTTATGGAGAATGTTTCATTCATTTTTTTTTTCTCTTTCACCGCTTTATTTGTAGAAACACAAAATAGATAGCAGCAATTAATGCGTTGGCGTGACATAAAATTGGCTAAATGCGCGGCATTTCTTCCCCAATTTGTTGGTAATTTTGCTAAGGGGAAAAAGGACTTTCAGGCAATTGGCGCGTGCAGGGAAGTTGCGCGGGGGGATGCCCCCCAAAGTTGTTCCAATTTCATCGCGAAGGTCACGGGGACGTATATACCGTGGGGGAAGTTTCTCTTTGCTCCTTTGGAAGCGAAGCATCCCAAGGGGGGAAAAAGGAAAAAAAAATTCGAAACCTTGCAGCACCAAGATTTGCACATTTGTACATTTAAAATGGCAGAATAATTCTTCGCGTCTGTTCCTTCTATGGATGTAAAACGCATCGACGATTTCTCTTATCCACCGCTGCCTTCCCCTTTTTTTTTTTTTTTTTTTTTTGAGTTATACCCATCATGTTAACCACAAATTGGACGCACTGTCCCCAAGCGCCATATGCGCATCCCAAATGATCACCTTTCCATTTGATAACGCACAAAGTTAAAGAAATGGGAACAGTTGCGTAAGTGCGCTTATACCTCTTTATGCCTGTTTACGCCAATTGCTATGTTACCAACTGGGGGTAAAATAAGAGGCCACCGTAATTTTTTACTTTATCTCCCCCCACACACATTTAGTATACGCGTAATTAACATTCACGCGCAACTGGTGAATGAAACAAGTCGACCATTTTATGTCTAATCGTTCTTATGCATACATTCGGGTCGTGAGGATGTTTTGCGCTTGTTTCGCCGTCCTAAAAATTGGCACATTTTTTCCCATGGCATTCATTAAAAACGTTTTTTTCGATGAGGAAGCCAATTTGGTGAGGGTCATTGTTAAGGGAAAACGTGTCAAAATGTATACGCCTCCGAGCAGACACACACGCACATGTTCAGTGTGGCTTCATAAATCCTAAGACACCTCCTCAAATGGTTACGAAACAGAATGAAACAACTTTTTCAGCCGTTCTGAGTGGATGCTTTATTACCCACGGGGAGGAAAAAAAAAAAAAAAGACGGACCGACCGACAAATACTTACTGCACTGTGTGCCTCCCCCATTTGGATAATTTTTTCCCTCTAAAACGAAAAATTGAGAAAATGGGGACGTCCTAAATTACAATACGGACGTGTGCATACGAATGCGCCCCAAGCGGAGCTTGTCCAAGTTCTCACCATTCACACGTTCCCGTTTGACAAAGTAGGAACGGAAAAAAGAAAAAAAAAAAAAGATCAAAATAAGATATATAAAATATAAAAATCACTGAATGCTCACACAAGTACATAATTGAAGTAATCCTCCCCTCGAGGCGTTAACCCTCGTCACTGCGCCTAATGTGAAAAGTGGAAAAAAGGAAACAGACGCAGATGGCTGGGAATGAACAAATGGGAGTCACTGAATAGGGGAAGAAACATAATTTGAAAGAAAAGAAAAAGGCACAAAAAAATATAAATTTTAGCAAAGAAGAAAAAATTCCGGTAAAGGGGAGGAGAAAAAATGCCATAAGTGTTTAGGGGCATAAAAAATTACGGGTCTAAGGGCAGAAATATATCAGTCATTAAAAAAAAGAAATCCATTCGGATTCGTTAGCTGGGTACCAAAGTGCATAAAACAATGGGTCGGTAAAAATGTAGAAAATGAACATATCCTCGAGGAGGTATATGTGGCACTCCCAGCTCAATGATAGTCCTCTATGTTTTGTTACATGTTCGTAAAGACCGTCTCCATGTGGGGGACACGAATTCAATAAGTAAAAATTCACTAACGCAAGGAACGAATCGAAAAACGGAAGAGAAGAGAGTCTTACTACCAGTAAGGATAGAAAAGTCTCACCACCTCCATTTCTGCCTACTGTACCACCTGTCATAGCAGTGTATTTTTTTTTTTTTTTTCTTTTAACCCTCCATAATTCCTCGTTGGATATGAAGGGGGTTAATTTATGTATGCATAAACGGACAGCTGGGAACTGCTCAAAATTTTGCGCCTACTTTGGTATATGCACTCGGGACGGTAACCCCCCAAAAGGGAAAAAAAAAGAAAAAGAGAAGAGAAAGAGGAACAAAAATGGAAGAGGAGGATGTGGACGAATAGGAAAGAAAAGGAAATCCATTTTTATCATCTCATTTTTGTGACCTCATTTTTTTATGACAATTTTTCCTACCCCTTAAACATTTTCCCCCATTTTACTTTTGTTCCTTTGAGGGGGAATGAAATCCATGCAATCAGATCAGAGGCGTAGCTTCATTTGGCTATTCCCCTTCCCGCGTACGCCGAACGGTTGATACCTTTATGCAGACGGTTAATTCTGCACAGGAGGGATGGCTAGGCAATTTTTTCTAACGCGCAAAAATGATGAATATGAGCATTGCTTTCATTTGGGGATAGGAAATTAAAACATGTCTATGAGATTTACCGGACGGGCATTAAGACGGAAAAAAATGTGAAAAATGAAAAAGATGCGTCGGCCGCGTATCCTTTTTTATATATATTAAATACCTACACAGTTTGAACGTACGGAAGACGCACAGAGCTTCTTTCTTTCCATTTTGCATTCCTTCGCGATGCTGCATGGAACATGTCTTTTTTGTTGCATTGTAACTCTGCGTACAGCACATATGTGGCCAACTGTACAGTGCATTCTGGCGTAACTGGACGCGGAAAAGGAGAACTAAAAATAGAGGTATAGGCTACATGGGAATTCTTATGTTCGGAAAATTAACGCAAAATGGGGTTTCTTTTTTTTTTTTTTTTTTCCCCTTTTCCGGCTTTGCCTTCTCATTTTTAACATCACATCCCTTCGCCGTCTAGGCAACATTTTTCGAACTGCAAATGCTTGCATGTAACGTTAGACTGCAGTGGGCACGGAAGGGGGTGAAAAGGACAAATACCTTTCGCATACGCATGGAGGGGGGGGCGATTTAAACTGGTGTAATCTGTCCAGTACGCGCGTATGCAAACCTCATTTGTCACATTGTTAAATTAAGAGCAGGGAAATTTTCCATTTTTCCGAAGGGGCAATATAGCAGCCCAAGAAAAATAGTGAAAATTGTGCGAAAAGGACTATAAAAATGAATTTAAAATGCAAAGGGAAAAAAAAATGAAAGATATACTTAGTGCACATTTGGGTGGCAAACTCTCCGGATGCAGAGCCATTCGCATAAGCGCAAGTACAAATATAAACATATGCACGTTCCCACTTGACCCTTGCCTCGCCTGTACATAGAAAAAAGGGTAGAAAATAATAGGCACCTTTTTTCTTCCTCGTCTATTCGTGTACCCATATAAATGCGTGCTCAAAGCAAAACCGCCAGGGCGCGATGAGCAAATTATGCATACTTGCGCATACATGTTCATACGGTATGTACATATATTCCCGGGCGCCGAGCCGTGAATATTTTTCTCGCCAGACCTCCACTGAACAAACTAGCAAGCAAGGATCCACAAAATGCCATGAACATCAGCAAACGTAAAGATAAACAGAAGTAAAAAAAAATAGTATAATACAATACGTGAGCAATTGTTGGCAGATGAATGTCCCCACCCATCCCTTGCTACACAAAATGCATCATGTAAATTAGAAAAGAAAAAAGGAACAAAGTTAACCCCCTCCCACTGAAATGATTATAACGATATATAAAAATGCCGATCATCTGATGACGTAACCTTTTGCCCAGCGGGTGATTTCTTTTTTTTTTTTTTTTTTCGCCATGAGGCAAGAGGTTTATACAATGCGCAAATGCGTACACCATATTAAATAGCTCGTTTGAACATGACGATAATATTATGCGTTTCGTCATTCATATATTACGCGAAATGTATAAGTAAATCCATACATTGAATTTGCAATTGTAATATTTATATGTAAACCCGCTCGGACGGCTTCCCATGTGCACGGGGCAAAAGAGAAAAAAAGAAAGTCCAAGCATAGATTAAAAATATTCAAGGCGCACTATGTCCACTCGCGTATGTGGACTGCCACATCGGTTGGTGAAAAAGCAAAAAATGCATACATAAAAATACAGTGACTTAGCGCATAAGTGTATAACGCAATAAAGAATATAGCAATAAGCATAACGCGTTAAACACAACGCATATTTTTATACGTATGTATAACAATGCGCATTGGCAGGGTGAGAAATATTTTTCCTGAATTAATATTTTTCCCACTTGATATTTTTTTACCCCACTTTCATGTCAGCATATTTTTTAAATTTCCAATGTATATATTTTGTATTGTATATAAGAGAAAAATAGCAATTTTTTAAAAAATTGCATCTTTTATATCTTAAGCGGAAATTATAAAATAAAATAAAACAAAATAAAAATACGAAATTGAATGACCGCGAATTTGAATGAGGAGTTTACGGAAATGGAAAAAGTACGTACGTATTGACAAACTTGAAAAAATTTTATGTTCACCTATATTACGCGTGAATAGGAACTTTTTTACATCACCATATTATTGCATGAAATATATGTAATAATGTATATATATTTGTATACTGCGTAATTTGTGCGCTTTTACGCTGTGTTTGCGCCCATGATACGTTTGCCTGCGCTACCATGTTTTTCATGTGAGTTATGTTTGTACGCATCGTATTGTGTTGCGCTGCGCCTATGTTTGTATACCTTTTACATGTGCCCCTACATATAATATATATTGTATATACATTATATCCATTTTGCATTATACGCATGACTTACGCGAATGTGCAGTTTTCCCTTGGGTTACCCCAAAACACCACATTATATGTTGCATTTCAGGGTTACCCACTCGAGTAGGAGATTTTGTAAAATTAAATGATAAGAAAATGCCTTCTCTTTTTCAACTCCAGAAGTCTTTTCGCTCAACTGCTATATTTATGGATTTTTTTTTTCCACGTTGTTTTTCCCATGATACACGTTCGAAGGGCACATCCTGTGAAGCACATGGTGTTCTCTTTTAACTGTTTTGCGAAAGGAGCACGTAGGTTCACATGTGCGCTCCTGTAATACGTCTACGTAACGCGTGTAAATGCGGCCAAGGTACACGCGCATGCGTTGGGCGCTTATGTTTATATGCATTTATGTAAATATGCGCCCTTATGCGTATTTTTTATGTGCCACTTTTTTACCATCCTTTCATTTACCTACCCACCGGTCCATGACTGCATTTGACTCCATTTAGCCACTTGCAATTCGACAATGCACAGTTGCCCCTGATACGTTTTTGAAGTATCTACATTTTTACCACTTTAATTTTTTCACCCGCACCCCACGTTTTCTTTTTCTTTTTTTTTTTATTCATTTTTTCCTTTATTTTCCTTTTTTTTCTTTTTTTCTTCTCCTTCTTTTCATTTTCCCCCTAAATGATATTTTGTGCGAATTAATGCCTATCATTACCCCGTCAAACGCGAAAATTGTGCGATTCAGCCAAAGTATGTCCTGCCGCATAGGTATGTATAAGTTTGGTACCTCTAAGGAAGGAGGCGCTTCGCTTCAAGTACGTCGATATATTTGCATATATTCACGTACTGTTTGTGCACTTGGGATTATACGTGTACATGCGCGCGTAAGTGTATGACGTGTGACGTATGACGCGTACATATGTTGCAACAGTCATCGCACTGAGCGAATATGCGTCCCGAGAAGGAGAAAAATACGATGGTGTCAGCGCATCCCATTTTTCTCACTTGTGCCTGACTTGTACATGCAACTGCGGCGTGTAACCCCGACGTGTAGCTGCGACGCGGAAGTGACAACCTTTGCGCGCACTTATCCACAACGTATGCATAGTTTGACCCAGCAGTCAACACACCCTCCCCACAAGCACGCAAGCCCCCATCGCGGTGCCCCCTTATTACGAAGTTAAGCGCGTGAATGATCAAAGTTGACACTTCATTTTTAAATTGAACAATTCGCTTGCCCAGGCAATTGTATATCTGTGCACGTCTGTATTTATTTTCCTCCACGTGCACATGTACGTAAGCGTGTATGCGTAACTACGTACGTACGAATTGAATGTATACACCTTAAGGTGTAGGGGTTGTATACATGTAGTTATGCATTCGTAAGGGTGTACGTAAGTACGTATTTATGCATTTGTGCACGCCTCTCCCCCCCATCCCCGGCAGTGTCATTTCCCCAGTTTGATTTACGCTTGTGCAAAGCGCGCTCCTCACGAAGGCCCCCCTTCTGCTCTGTTCCCATTTTGATAATCTCAATTTTGTTACATACGCATTTATGCCACTTTTAAACTGTATTTCCACGCGTGTATATTTTGAAACAGAATAAAGTTCAGAAAAGAAAGGAAAAAAAAAAAAAAAGAGGGCAAAAAATTACAACATGCACAAAGTAAATATACGCATGTTCGGGAGCGAACTCTGGAATTTTTGTTAAGCGTATAAATATTGCAGCGTGAGGAAAAGGTATTTTTTTTTTTCACTTTTTTTCACTTTTTTTTCACTTTTTTTTTCTTTTTTTCCCTCTTTTTTTTCCCCCCGAATTATGTCTTATTTCAATACTGAATGTTCATGCTGCATACATTTACGTGCTTGACGAAGCCAAATCGTAAAATTGTTCACTCAGCGCATCAGATCAGCATATGTACATAATTGTATGTATATATGTGTCCTCACCTCCCTCGAGCGTTGGTGCGTATATATTTGTGCTGCGTCTATATGTATTTGTCCCCATACGCGCGTTCTTCCTATGTACGTTAAAAGGTACATTTATACGTATGCTATATGTTAATCCCCCCTTCTTCTCTCCTCCTCTCAACGCTAAAATTGACCATTGTGTTGTATTAGCGTGTCACCGCTTGCATGTCATTTTTTTACCACGAGGAATGTGCCTGTTTATAGCCATTTTTTTTTTAAATCTTGTGATATACGTTTTCTTTTGCCCACCCTTCCCCTGTTGTGATATTTGTTTTGGGAAAACGTGAAAAGGAGGCAGACTGGGAAAAGCGCGAAAAGTGTGAGAAACACTTGCAAGTACGTGCGGCTTATAAGCGGCCACCCGCGCGGCCGAACCAACCAGGCGCGGAGTGCCTCATATTTCCACAAAGTTTTGAATTTTTTTTTTTTTTTTTATCCCTCCAGTTTGTAAAACAGGGCACATTTTGTATGCACACTCAAGTCTAGTTCTGCCCATTGCGCATATTTCGTATGTGACCTTTTTGTTTGCGGGCCCCCCCTCATCGGTGCATACAGAGAAGTACAATTTGTTAACCTCTTGTGCGCGACCGATTGAACTCTGTTTCGAATCTGCCAATTGGTAAGGGAGTCCACCACAGCCACGAATACGTTATATACGCATCTGTATATACACACGTGTACATAAATATCCTCATTACACACAGCCCTATCGCGCAAGCCAACGCCGGGGTGGCATAAACGAATCGTTTCAAATGAGGCGGACGACCACTCTCAAATGAATAAAATAAATGGATCAAAAATTGATGACACAAACAATTCTGAAACGCAACTACGAAAGCAAGTAAACAATAACAACCAACTGATAAGAGAAGGGAAATATAAAATGAGTACAAATTTTAACATCTCCAATTACAACTTAGATTTAATCAAATGTTTGCAAAATGACTCAGGAATCTACTTCATATTAGATCCTTCCAAAGCCATCAATGATAAAAAAAGTTCCGAAGTGTATGATATATTTATCCCTGAAAATAGTGATGGTGTTACCCTACATGTGCAGAAATTAAATGAGGAGTACAAATGCATAGGAGTGAGCATAACGAAGAAGGGCATTGACATTAACACTGGTACGCGCATCTTTAATACGAAGATTGCCGACTGGTTGGAGCAGCTGTTCCATTTTAACAAAACCTTGTCAAGCGGAAGCCAGCCCAGTGGCAACGGGGCTCCAAGCGCCAGCGCTGCTAATATTGGCGGCCAAGGCGATCATAGCGGCCACAGCGGCATTAACACCGCAAGCCACAGCAACAGACTCAAACGAGTGAGCAGCAACAACTCTGCCACCGCAGAGAGCAACAGCGTGGATACCTCCCCCTCCACAGTCATAAACAATTGCGACAAAGGCGCGAATGCGGCCATCAGCGCCCTGAGCAGCAGCGCAAACGGTGTTAGCGGTGTTGGCAGTGCTGGCAGCGTTGGCGTCGACGGCTACAACAACGTCAGGCATATGTCCTCACCTGGCATGCAGCAGGGACCAATCACCAACCTAGTTAAAAATCCCAAGAGCAATTTTGAGAATTTTGAAAATAACGACAATAACTATAACTCCACAGTGTGCAACAAGAAGACCAATAAAATGATAAATCAGTCTAGCTGCAATTTAAACCAAAGCAACGGTACGAGCAATGTGGTAACCCACATTGTGCCCTCCACCAATTTGTCCCCTGCTACTCAGTCGAAGGAGAATAGCAGTAACAGTAATAATAACGCCCCTTCGACTCACCACCACCTGCAGCGGGTGCAACACACCAAACAGATAAGGTTGAATCAGATGAATGCGACCCACTCGCACAAGTCGCATTTGCTACCGTATCACGGTGCTAATTATGAGGACAAGAGTAGTAAGCTGTACAGCAGTGGAGGGGCAAATGTAGGCGGTACCAATATCAGCGCGGCAAATGTGAGTGGGACCAATATCAGTGGGGCCAATGCCAGCAGTGTGAACAACAAAAATGTGCTCAATGCGACATCGGCCAATTTGGCTGCATCGGGGGTGGGGTCCGGCAACGCCCAGGGATCGTCTAACCTTAACAGTGAACACATGAAGAATAACAAACTGGGGTGTACCAACAGGCAGAAAAATGTTAACCACGTACATGGCAGTCAGCCGCATAACAGTCAGCCACTTAGCAGTCAGCAGCATGGTGGCGACCCCTTGTACAACGCGCAGAATGGGCAGAACCCGCAGAACTCGCAGGACGGACAGAATACACATCCAAACAGTAACCATCTATATAATAATCCCAAACCGCAACAGCCGTCATACAATGAAAATTTCGGCTATCGACCGACCCTATTCAATTTGCTCGAAGTTTTGGCGAATCATAATATTACTACTCCAGATCAGCGTGTGTGCATAAGGGGGATAGTGACCGATTTTTTAAACAACGAATTACCTCATGGGAAGATCTATGCATACATCGGTGCAGTAGTAGGCCACGACATTCTACATGACATAATAAGGAAATTGGAGAAGGATCCCAATCGAAATGTTGTTCCGGATGCTTCTGGCTTGGCACGAATCGAGGCAGCTTTCGGATTGAGTAAATCATCCTATGATTTCGTGAATCATAACTCTAACAACACAAGTGTTAATAATATTCCTAATGTTTTGTTTAACCACCGAAATCTGAATAGTGCTCTGCTGAACAATCATATTTATTCGAGTATCCTCTCCAATGTAGCGAACAGCAGCTTGGCCAATAATAATAACAATCACAATAATAATCACAGTAATAATCACAGTAATAACAATAACAGTATCGCTAACGGGGGCAGCGCCAACGCACGGAGTGCCGACCGAATCAATATCGACACTGAGAAACTCCTAAGTAACGTTAAAACGCAGGCTGATTTAAACAACCTGCTCAAGTATGCCAAGGGGAGCGACAACTACGCCTTGGCCTGTAACAATCTTATTAGTATGAATAAAAAGAAGGGGCTTCTTCCCCCCCCCAGCATGAATAACTTCTTAAATATCCGTTCAGAGGGTCCGTTCAACAATGGCATGACCTCCCTTGGCGGGGTGAGCGGCGTGGGACTGGGCAGCGCAGGGATGATGAACCAGAAAGGTGGCGGGCTCACTGCGCACGACTATCTCTGCATGTCGAGGAACCTCAACATGCAGTGTCACCCGCTCAACAACAGGGCAAGCGTTTCGGATGATGAGGAAGAGCTCATGAAGGTAATCAAGAAAAACATTGAAACGTACAAAATGAATAATATTAAGAATATGCTTATATCGTCCGTCTTCGGTAGAATCAAGTGGCTTAAAATAATGAACGAATCACCACACGCCTACCTCTATGGACATAGTATTGTCAAGTTTGGGAATAAATTATACATGTTCGGAGGGACAAATAGCAAGCACAAGAAGGTGCCATTCAATCATACACTCACCTTTAGTCTCATTTATTACAATTATAAGTTATTGCCACTTGGTGGAAATTACCCCGAAGAAAGAGATGGCCACACCACACACCTGATCTCGTTGAAAACCGGACTAGCTGTCTTCCTTTTCGGCGGTAGTAACGAGAGTACCTACTTTAATGATATTTACACACTCGATATGGAGACCAGGAAATGGAGCCAACGAATTACGAAAGGGAAGATTCCCCTGCCTAGGGATCAACACTGTTCATTGGTATACCCAGCGAAAAGTGAACACGTCCGAGGGGAGAGAACTAATCTAACCGAGGGAGTAATCATCTTTGGAGGGAAATGCCTCTACAACAATAATATTGTTAACCTGAATGATATGTGGATATTCCTATTCCAAATAAACATGTGGGTCCGAATCAATTACTCCACTCAAGAGTCTCCAATTGGAAGATATGGCATGAATTTCGTCTGGTCCGACACGAATACTTTGTGTCTCTTTGGTGGAGAGTACTTTGATTCGAATAAGAACTGTCGTGAGAGGAAGCTACTTGACGACATGTGGACCTTCCGTCTGAACCCTGCCTCCACTTCCAGCGCGATAACCACCGGGGGAGGACCAGTTGCCACAAATAATGCTACTACTACTGCTACCACCCCGCTTGCCGATGCAGCAGAGGTAAGCGTCGGGGTAGGCGTCGGGGTAGGCGTCGGGGTAGGCGTCGGGGTAGGCGTCGGGGTAGGCGTCGGGGTAAGCGGCAACATCGGCGGAGCGGGAGGAGTACCCACCAGCGGAGGTGCCTGCAGAAATTTTATCTATAATAACTCCAGCTCCATGGAAGGGACGCTCTACAACGCGGTTGACATAATGCACGCTGATTCCTTTAACAATGGGAATGTCCATGCTGCTGCGAATAACCCCCCCGGGGGTAGTAACACCAACGAGGGAAATAAGAAGCAGTTTTATCAGAACCATTTAGCGACGAGTCTGTCCATAGATAAGAGCAGTACCTGCGAGAATTTAAAAAATCTAATGAATAATGGCTTGGGGGAGAATTCCATCCCAAACGCATCCATCAACCCATCCATAAACGCCTCTTTCAATTTGAGTGATGATAAAGACTCAACCGATAATGAAAACGATAATGCGAATAACCTCCTTAAGAGAGTAAAAATAACGGGGGAATGGAAGAGGGAGATATACGATGGGAAGATTGGCTGTAGGTCAAACTATACTAGTATCTTCATAACTCAAAGGCATCAAGATTTTAAGAACGCAGAACCGAAGACGATTGAGAAGCTGATGCTGCTATGCAGCGGAATAACCTACGTCAACAAAGACAATAAGTTGAAAATCGTTTCAAGTGACGAAATCTATGTCTACTTCTTCTCTCAGAAGAGGTGGTATCTCCTAAGGGGGAAGTTATACAATGAAGAATTCATCTATAATGCACGACAGAGACATGTGGGCTGCTTCTTCGAATCAAAGAATGTACTCGGCAGAGCGAATAAGAATCCCGTTCCTTGTATCTTCATCCAGGGGGGGTTTAAAAAGAACTCCATTTTTGGAGACGCCTGGTTATTATCCCTCACAGGAGACAACCCCCTTAGAATCCATGAGTATGATACGTGTAGAGAAAAAATATCCACCACGCAGATGCCACTGTACTACTTCAGGGACACACATTCGATTAGCCTCCTCTACAGCTTCTGCACTCTGCAAAAATGGCTTTTTGGTGCATTTGCCAATTTGGTTGATAATTGCGTCCATGCTTTAAACCCAGCAGAGAATGTTTTTATAAAATATGAGTTGACCCCCGAACATGACGGGATGCTGTCCATTCAGGATGATGGAGAGGGCCTCGACTTCAACGCCATGAATAGAATTCTACGCCTATACGGAAACTATCGTAGCTATGATAGCAACAGCTTGTATAATGAGACGGGCATGGGGGGAAGTGTGAAGAAGCACAACTTGCCCAATAGCGATTTTGTGAGTAGCCACCGAATTGACGACTCCGATGAGGAGGATGGCGGTGAGACTGGTGGTGGGGATACTCCATGTGCGGAGAAGATACAGCAGGAACCCGGCACAGGAGAGAACAGTAATAATAATAATGATAACCCCACTGGGGAAGAAGCCGGGACGACGAAAAACAACAATGAAGCAACTCCCCAGGGGGGAAACCAAAGGAGGAAGAAAAAATGCTCCTTCAATGACCATTATTATCATAAGAATTATGACCAAGAATATTTTTACAACGAAAATGCAAATGGACTGTTTGATATAAAATATGGCATAGGATTCAAAATGTCATTTGCTCGTATCTCCTCCAGTTGTGCCATTATGTCAAGGACTATAAACACCATCGGGATCGGATTACTCTCCTTAGAGTTAATGAACCACTGTGACGCCAAAGAGTTAGCCACCCCTCTGTGCATGTGGAAGTTACCCAATAAAGAATTGATAAACAGAAACATTGCCAACAAGTCAGAGCATAGGCATCATCAGAAGTTGCTTATGTCTTATACGCCATTCAATAGCCCCAGTCTGTTAGCGGAGCAGATTAACATCCTTGGGACGTATAGCGGTACTAGGTTATTATACTGGGATTTTAGAGACGACATGGATTTTATTGTATTTTCCCCCGCGAATAATAACATTTACCTGAGCAGCTCCCCCCTCAGCATTGACGAAATTAAGTGTAGAAAAAAGAGAAGAGGAGCCGCGAAGGGAGCGGCGAACGGGGCTGCCAGCGGGGTAGACTCTTCCAGAAAACTCCACTGCATCGAGGACATTAAACTGAGCAACAGAGAAGTTAAGCGAAAGCCTCATTTCGATCAGCACGAGGAGGAAAAGGAAAAATATAAAAGGAGCAAGGTAGACCATAGTGTGAGTCGTCTTCCTGTCGTTAATAATGGGACGAACACAGATGCTGAGAAGAAGGATGAGCAGGATTTCCAGGTGGGAGAGAAGAGCTGCACACCAGGGGTTAAGGATGAGCAGCAATATAGTCTAAACGGCAATGTCAAGGAGGAAAACGACAAGAATAAAAAGTCCGACGGAAAGAACAACGATGGTGGTGTCGCCCAATTTGGTGACACCGGTGAAGCTACTGCTAAGGATGGTGGACAAAAGGACGAGGTGAGCGAAAAGTGCCCCAAGGTTGATACTTCCAACGGTTCGTCGGCTTCCCCTCCTCAGGGAGGAGCAAACAATGATGCAGATGCGAGCACAACAGCGAACCGGAAGGATGAACCGAAACTACGAGGGCCAAAAAAGTCATCCCCCCCAAAGAGTAACAAAAGTAAGTATTACGAAAATGAACAATTTCAGCACAGCAATGACATTTTGAAGAAGATGAATTTATTCGAATACAACTCTCATTTGCATCCGACCATATCGAAGGAGAAGTACAACGTTAGTCCCATTTTCCCTTTGTGGGATCATCCCAAAGATAGTATTGACTATTGCTTGTCTACTTATTTGTATTGGCTCTACCTGAGGAGAAGTACGAATATCTTTCTCCAGAACACTTTGCTGATACCGACGTGTATGAGGAGAGACGACCACGTTGCGAAAGGCGCAGCAGGAGATGCCACCGGCACGTCTTCCACTGGTACCCAGAAGGGGAAGAAGCCAAGGGGGCGAAGGAAATTCAAAAAGGGAGCCATGAAGAATGGGAAAAGTGGCATAGAAGTGGAAAAGAAAGAGAAAGCGGAGGAAGTAGAGAAATCAGACAAATCAGACAAAGCAGATAAAGGAGAGGACACAAATTCACCTGTAGCAGTGAAGGAAGAAGTGGACGATGAAGTGAGGAAAGCAGTAGGCGACCTACCCAGTAAGGACGACACGGTACTCTCCCCTAGTAGTAACGACCCAAGCACACACAAAGACGGAGATGAGAATACCAACCAGGGTGGCATCCTCAACGATTTGAACAACGATGGAATGGCTAACGAGAAACTCCACGTGAAGAACGAATTACAGGAAGAGGTTCCTGCTAGTAGTAGTGACAAGGTCTGTGTTGACAATCTGGAGGTCCATGGCGCAACTGAAGCGAGTAGTAACGGTGATATAAAGGAAAGTAAGGGTAACAGTGGAGAGGCTTCAAACGAAGGAGATGGCTCTGGACCAGTGGGTGCTGTCCCCTCTAGTGACGGTGCTTCCCATACGATTGAGAGCAACGCCAAGGTTAGTGCCAGGGAAGGCGAAACGAATGAGGAAGATGACAGCGAAGTGGATGAAAACGGGTTCACAAAGCTGCAGAAGAAAAAACTGGAAGAAGCCTTAGAGTACGGCATATCGCAAGAAGTGAAAAAGCGCAAACATGTACATAGGAACGAAACGGATGATAGCGCACAGGAGGACGACTACAATGAGGACGGTGAGGAAGAGGAAGAGGAGGACGACGAGGAGGAAGGCAAAAAGAACGCAGACGCGGCAGAGAATTCGAACAGTGTGGAGAAAGCGCAGCAGGGGGAAGAGGCGAATGGGGCGAACACAGCGAATACGGCGGATTCGTCGAACACGGCGGATGCGGCGAACATGGCAAATGGGGCAAACCATACAGAGGCCACCCCCAATGGGGAATCCCCAGGTGACGCGAACAACCCCGAGAGGACACCCGAAACGAATGACGCGCAAGTGAGTGCATCACCCGTCGCGAAAGACTCAGACGCAGCGCCAAATCAGCAACCATCCCCCAAAGCGACATTCGTAAAAGAAGGAGGAAAACGAATGAAGAAGACAAAAAATAAAAAAGAAAAAGGCGAAAACGCAGTGGGAAAAAGAAGAGGAAATAGCCATTGGATGAACCGTCATAGCAATGATGCGAAGAATGAACAAAATGAAAAAACACGAAAGGAGAATTATGTCAATGTCTACATGGAGACACTCAAAATTACAGATCAGTATTATATAAATAATACGAATAAATACACCCTGTACAATTTTCTGAGGAGGAAACTTTACCGGATGGTTGAGTTTCACTATCTGTTTACTCCCTCTGATTATGAATACGGCTCGTTCATTATGATGGGATTCCTAAATGACAACACGAGTAGCAGCATAGAAGTTAATAGAATCTGTGAGGCGGGAATTTTACTTTATTACAAGAATCGACTAATCAAACGGTTGGATGCGCCATTCATAGACACCGCGTATAATCTGTCCCTTTCGAAATATCCTCCGAACCCATCATTATACGAAGGAAATCTGTACAAATATGCCCTCACCGTTATTGTGAATGTCCCCAATTGGCTCAAACCTTCCATTAGCAAACAAGAGTTTGTTCATGAGAATAATTATGCTTTCCTCCTCTTTAAGAAGAAACTGGTGAGTCTCATTAAGTACTACCTCTGCATCTGTGAAGACACGGCAAAGCTAACCAAGTGGAGACAATCGCGTGATCTTAAATTGAAGAAGTACCTTGAAAATATGCAATACAGCAATAGACTCTCCAAAAATGACTCGGACAATGAGTACGAGAAGGCCTACAAAATAATGTATAACGATAAGGAGAAGAACCGAAATGACCAGGAGGAGAAGCAGGTTGTGCCTCATAAGGAAGAGACACCGCAAAGGAGGGACCGCGCAGCGGCACAGCTAGCCAAATCGGATGAAGGCAGAACCCACGAGGGAAATAGGAGGAGGGGCGAGGCTGCTAATGCGGTAGCGGAGGCGGAAGTGGTAGAAGCGGCGAATGAGGCCAATGCAGCAGATGCAGATGATGCGGCAGATGCTTCCACTGGGGATAAGCTCCAGGAGAACTGTACCAACTTAAAAGAGGAGGAGGAAGAGGAAGAAGAAGAAGAAGAAGAACCCGCAGAGAATGACATGCCAGCCGAGGAGGAAGAAGCGGAAGAAGGCGAGGAAGGCGCTGCAGAGGACGAAGGAATGAACGAGCAGTATGCACATAAACCGAAGAAGGAAAGGAAGCGGAAAAAGCGAAATGAAGAGGAGGAAGAAGAGGAAGAAGATGAGGTAGAAGAGGAAGAGGAAGAAGTGGAAGAGGAGCAGGTAGAAGAGGAAGATGGCGAAGAGGGCGACGAGGGCGAAGATGATGAAGAATACGTTCCGGAGGAAGACGAAGAGCACAGAGACGTCGATGCGGATGAGGACAATGAAGAGGAGGACCAAAATGATGAGGAGGACCAAAATGATGAGGAGGATCAAAATGATGAGGAGGATCAAAATGAGGAGGACCAAAGAAAGGCCAGAAAAAAACAGAAAGTCAGCCACGAAGAAGTGGACGATGAGGAGGAAGAAGAGGATGGTGAAGAGGTCGACGAAGAAGAGGAAGAAGTGGAGGAGGACGAAGAGGAGGAAGAGGAGGATGGAGAAAAGGATGGTGATGAGGTCAACGAAGAAGAGGAAGAAGTAGAGGAGGAAGAGGAAGATGAAGAAGAACAAAAGGAGGAAGATGAGGAAGAGTACGACCCAGAAGAAGACGATGACGATCATAACGAAGTGCTTAAGGCTGTAGAAGACGAGGATGAGGAGAAGGAAAACCTTGTCAACTCCCACGAAGACGGGAATGAAGTCGATGAGGAGAATTACGAGGACGAGTGGAGCAGCTAAAAGGGGGAGAGAGCAGATTGAGTCCTTCCTACCCCATCTGGAGAAAAAGAGAGAAGGAAAAAGAACAAAACAAAAATACACATAAAGAAGTATCGCACAGATTCTGCAGCTTAACCTGTACTCACTGTGCATCATAAGTGTGGCTTTGTTTTACCCACGGGCGAAGTACGGTTATGTGGACGAATCAGCTGCTTACAATGTGAAACGTAGCGAGTCTGCCTCGTTCCCCTCTGACCACACCCGTGTGATAAGGAAATGAAGAAATTCTCGAGGCAGTACTTTTCCCCCATAATACCATTAAGGCACATCAAATGGAGAAAAGGATCCTCCTGAAAAATATGTCTATGTGTATTTAACTAATATACGAGGTGTGAAAACCCGTAGGGACGGGAAACCCTTCCTCCTCCAGATAATACCCGACCTGAGCAAAATATAGATATTTATTTACACACCGCAAAATTAGGGGTCACTTTTGTGTGCTCCCCGTTTTGCACGTCATCCCAAGTTGCCTCCTCATGAAGTTGAAATTGTGCCTATGTAACAGTCGCGAAGAACATCTTCCTCTTAGGATTTAATTTACTCCCTACGGTTGATAAAACATCGGCAGTGTTCTCACTTGAATTAGCTTCCCATCGGAGTGTTCTTCCCCCCCCAAAAGAGGAAGACATAAATGGCGCGAAGGGGGGGAAGGAGAAGAATTATTAGAAGGGGCTTCTCGGCCCTATCAGCACATAACAAAGGGGAACCTCCACCAAGAAAGTATAAACGTCCAAACCTCTCGCGCCTTATAACAACACGGTCCGATCACACATGAGCGGTGTGTGCATGCGTTGCACCTTTTAACCATACGAAACGATGAGTCCCCTCCTTGTTGGCAACCTTTTTAAGCGCTCTCATTTTTTTTTCCTTTTAGAAGAGAAGCCAAGCAGCACAGTTGGTACAGCACATGTGCTGAATATATAATTACACATTTATTTCCTACCTATACTTTTTATTGCTGCGGGGCAGTGGAATTGTGGCTGCCAGCGTAAAAACCTCCGCAGGGACAGCCCACACCTATGGGGCCATGTGTACATAGAGAGGGGAGGCGAAACGCCACAACGTCCCCATCGCACCCCTCCCGAGCGATACACGCAAAAAAGATGTGCCCACGTACCGGCGCAGTTTTAATTTGTTAATTCATTTAATTAGCCTTTTCCCTGTCGCACCCCCAAAGTAACATATCACCTTGTCATTTTTATGTTATGTTTTAAAAGCCACTGTTTTGTATTTTTGAAAAAGTCACAGTTGTGAGAGAAGCGGCTGTACTGCACGTGTTGTGTATGTATGCACCACACGCCTTATGGTGTGAACATGCCATTTTTACCCTCTTTAACTTCTTTACCCTTTTTATACCTTTTTATTTTTTTTTATTTTTTTTTTTTATTTTTTCCCTTATCAATCGAATGAACTTTATCCCTTCTTAATGTTTTTACAAAAGTATAATTAAAAAAATGAATGAAAAATGGACAAGTTGGAAGGGGGGCCATGGATAGGAGGTGATTTGCTGCTCCGCTCCCTTAGGGGGAAACTGCGTGCCAGGGAAAGAAAGGCCCACGGGTGTAGAGAGGAGTTGCCTAAACTCTTTGCACTGCAATTCAGTCCCCTCTTTTTTTAGCCAATCCTTTTGTTATGCTGCCTTTCCCTTGAGCATCTGAATATACTGGTTGATTTTCTCGAGCAGGAGTGTGTTCTCTTTACGCACGTCATTCAGTTGAGCAGTCTTCCGCCCGAGTTCCTTCTGAAGCAGATTCATATGTCTGTTATTCTCAATTTCGGTATTCTTAATTTCTTGTATAATTCCTTTTTTTTTCTTCTCCTGATATTTTTTTTCCAAATCGTTAAAGTCGAAAATTAAATCCTGCTTTTTTAATTTATTCTTCAGGGAATTCTTCTTATCTTTCATATTTTTAGAGAGCTTATTATTTCCCTGTTCTAATTCTGCATTTTCCCTTTTTAGGGCTGTATAAACCTTTGTTAGTTCCTCCTTCCTGCGCATGAGCGTTTCCATTTTGTGCATAATGTCGCGATACTGCTCTCTGCTGATGATGGCACAATTGCTGGTCAAATTTAAACGGTACTTTTTTTTATCATACAGATAGTCTATATTTCTTAGCTTCGAAATTTTTACAAGGATGTAGAACTTGACTTGGGAGATATTTTTCTTCTTGTCTTCCTCAAGAATCTTCATTTCTTCATTTAACATCTGGATCTCCTTCTCGATGTTTTTTTTTCTTGTCAGCAATTTTCTCTGCTCGTTTTTTTTATATTCTATATTTCTCTTTATGTTGTTTATTCCGTTCAAAATGGACATGTTTTCTTTCTTTATCTTGTCGATTTGGTCCGCTTTGTTCAATGCATTTTTTTCCAGAGGCGCCGACTGATCCGAGTGATTTGTGTGATCCGGATGATCCACCTTATCATTCTGCTGTGTTTTTCCCACCTCAGCACATTCGCTCGCGGGATATTCACTACCGTCTTCTTCCTCGCCTGGCGCCCCCCCCTTGGCGTACCCTCCTTCACTCTCGTCGGATGCCTCGTCTTCGTTTTTCCGCAGCCCCTTGATGAGAGTCCTGTAGCAGAGGCTGTCTTCTCCGATCATTTCTTTCAGCCTTTGGAGGTTCTTATCTTTTTGTTCCTGTGTTAAGCGGTGAAAAAAGGGAGTGTATACACATGGGCAGACAGACATGCATACAGAAAGAGACACACACATAGAACCTGTGTAATGTTTTAACACTCGAGGGCGAACTAATCACTGTGCCTTATGGAGGGAAAGCTCCCCGACCGGTCACACATCGGGATGGTGCCACTCACATTGTAACAATCCAAGTCATACAGCAACATCTGCATCTCCTCCATATATTTGTTCATGTCATTATCCACGCTGCTTAACTCCTTTGTGAACATCTTCCTTTGCTTCCTTAATTTTACTTCCTTCTTTCGCAGCTCCATTAATATGTTATTTTTCTCATCGATGGAGACAATCTTGAGAGAAATAAATTTTATTATCCGAATGGCTTCTATCTTTTTCATGTGCAGCAACTTTACCTCTTGAGCAAATTTTTTTCCGATTTCTTCTAGCTGTCTTTCGATCTGCTCCTTGTTGTAATGTTTGTTTTTCCTTTCAAAGTGGATGCAGTCACAATTGATATTTTTTACTAGCGGCACCATTGTTCCTTTTGGCTCCTTGGGGATGAACTGGCCAAGCAGCTCCAGTACGGAACATGGCGCCTTCTCCGTCCCGCGCGGGGTGGCCACTTGCTTCGAATGGGAAGTGACCATCTCGGGGGAGGTAACCATATCGGGGGAAGCGGCCATCTCGGGGATGAGGACTCCCATCTGAGCAGAAGCGGGGCCTGCATCCCCCTCCTGGGGCTCGACTCCTTCCCCTTTCATCGCTCTCCCGCATGGCGCCTTCTCCTTCTGCAGGGCCTCCCTCAGAAAAAGTACTTCATCGTGCATCTGCGACATTCGCTGGGATGTCAGAAAAGAGAAAGGGGGCAGTGTGTGGGGGGGAGGTCAAACGTGATAATGCAAAAAATGGAAGCAGCGCAAGGAAAAAAAAAAAGACACCGACACGAATGGCAACACTCCCAACAGTGGAAACACTCATCACACATTGCTCCCATCCCACTGTACCTTCTCCATCTGTGACATCACGGCACGAAAGTCCTCATTGAACATCTCCTTGATGAAGTTAATCTGGTGCAGCAGCTTCCTCTTGTCATCTTCGTACTCCCGAATTATCTCGCTGAGCGGGGAGAGGGAAAAAAAGCAGAAAGTACCTATCTGGGGAGAGGGTACCATTAGAAGAGGAAAAATACTGCACATATTGTGCTGTGGGGGACGAGCGCCTTCTCCTTCCTTTGTAACACTGAAGGGGACAGGAGAGAGAAGTCGGTGAAGGATTCCTCTCCCGTGTGCCACCTGGCCCCTATGTTGCCTCGCCCCTGTGCTGCCTCCACGGGCAGTTGTGACAATCCCTACGTTATGCTGGATATCCGGCGGGGGGGCCGCGGCGGCGCTGCAGACTTCTCCATTTGGTCAAGCTCAGCAAGGACATTTTCGTACATTTTAATAATCTTCTTCTTGTGACATATTTCTTCAATTTTGTCTTCATTGTTGAGAACCTTTAGCTTCTGATTTTTCTGTCTTGTGTCGTTAAATCGATGGAGGGAGTGATTGACCTGTTCCATAAGCTGTACTTCATTTTTCATTTTCCTCTTCCGAAATTTTTTTTTCTTCTTCTTCTTCACAAATTCGTTCATCCGCTGATTTTTCAGGTACATTTTTATGGACGTCATGGTTAGTGGCTCTTTTCCATCCAGTGCGAGGGAAGTTAGCGACTCTCTGGAAAATTCCAATCGCTCATACGTCCGGATAAGATAACGAATTCTTTCATCATACTCCTGTTGATTATACTTAAACACTCGTTTGTATTCCTTCATTTTGTCCCTGATATTTTTGTAGATCTTTTTGGACATGTCCACATCGATGAGAAATTTTTTTTTTTTAAAAAATTTCATATACTTCTTTCTGAGTTTTTCAATTTTCATGTTCATATTTTTTTTGTGTAAAAGTGCCCTCTTTACATTTTCTTCATTCTCCTTTGCTTCTTTCGTTTCGCGTAAACTGTAGAGGATGTCTTCATCTTTGATCACCTCATTGGTGTTAAAGATGCTGATCATGTTACGTTGGTCGTAATTTAAAATGAGGTTTATTTTTTTTTTCTGTTCTTCAATTTTGTCCTTCTCCTCCGCTTTGTTGTTATTTTGGATGAAGTTCCATATGTCCATGATGTCGTTACGTTCGGAGCGTCCTCTATCATCTGCAGGGTTGTCTGTGGCTGTCCCCTCATTTGGGACTCCCCCTTTGGTGTCGCCGGATAATTCTCCTTCCACTCGTTGCTCATTTTGGAGAAGCTGCATCAGGAAGGTTACATCAAATTGGATATCTTCCAACGTGAAAGGAATAATATTTTTTTTTTTTTTTTTCCTTTTCACAAATTGTTCTACAATATAGTCGTGAATTTCTTCGATCAAAAATTGGTGTAGCGACTCCATCGTTAAGTGTGGCATTTTCGAGCAGGTGGATTTTCCCTCCATTTGTGTACCTCTTCCGAGGCGTTGTAGCCACCGGTGCGGACTCACATGGTATCTCTTTAACACATTAAACAGGTGCACGAAGAAAAAGTAAACGTCCAGTTTTATGTAATTATTTCCCAGACTAACAAAAATGTACTGTCTTTTCTTTTCCCCTTGGTGTACGTAAATGTCGCGGACCTTCTCATACAGTGGGATTTTAACACGATAATATAGAAAGAAATATTTCGTTGAGAAGACAAAAATGTTGTTATGGTTTGTTAAGCAGAAGAGTAGGTGATTCGCTTCATTCACCGTCATGCTTACTATGGACACCCTTTCAGGGAAGTTCTTGCGGGCAATTTTGTACACCACGGTTGGGCGCAAAATGGTTTTTCTCCACCCGCTCTCCGTTCGATATTTACCACTCTCCGTCTTGTATTTGGCACTGCTCCTCCCATTGAGGCGTAAAAAGAAGATGCAATTATTTTTTATCCCCTCAGTCGTCAGCACAAATCCATTGTCATTCATTTTGGCTATACAAGAAATATTTATCTTGAGACTCTTCCCATTGTTTAATTTATTTTTCTTATTTCTCTTTTCTTCCTCCGCGTTTTCTTTTTCTTCTTCCTTCCTTTTGTCTCTCTCGAGATTTATGCTCAAACAGGTGGGATATCTTCTTCGTCTTCTTCCCAGCTTGTTCATGACGGACTCACTAAACAGTGTCTCTATATATTTCTGTAGGTTCTTCCTTTTGTTATTAAAGATGGATAATTGTATAGAGGGGTTTCTTTCCTCGCCATTTTTCTTATTCTCTTCTTCCTCCTCTGTGCTTCTAGTGAGGCTCATTTTATCTCTGTAGAAATTCATTTTGTCGTACTCCTCCTCTGATATGTCGCTGGCCGAGCTGTCAAGGGGGGACTTCCCCTCGCTCTCGCTGCATTCGGTGTGGCCGCATTCCGTGTGGCAGCCGGTTCTGTCCATTACCGCGCTGCTGCATGCGCCACTCGCTCCGCTTCTGCCCCCCGTGGGGTCGTACAGACGGGACTCCTCCGCGAGGTTGAACTGTATATCGAGGATTTCATACTCGACGCGCAGGTCGTACGAGTTTTCCGGGATCGCCCTGTGTGGCGGCGACTGGGGGGTTGACTGGGGCGATGACTGTGGACATTGCCCTGGTATGTCTGGCGACTGCTCTGACATACGTGCCGCCGATTCATCCGATCTGTGTGGCGACTCATCCGATATTCGTGCCCCCAACCGCTCTGCGGAAACCCGGAATATCAGGTTGCGCGCCCCCAGGACGTAAAACGAGCGGGTGGAAGGCAAGTAGAAGGAGCCCCTCAGCTGCTCCGCTTCGGAAATCTTCAAATATCCCAGTGGCTTAAATGAATTCTCCTGTCTGTACAGGAAAAAGACGTACTCTTCCTCCTTCGCTATGACACATATGTATTGGCAATCTTCGCTTTTCTCAATGTGCACGATCGAATTATTGCTCGTCTTTACACAGCTCACAACGTCCAGAAAGAGGTGCTTCATCTTCACTATGTAGATAACCCCATTAGTAAATCCAATGCAGAAAAGAAAGAAATCATTTTCTCGGTAGAGATACTTCACACACGTAATGGAGTCTCGAAATTTATGAAGGCAGTAATTCCTTTCCACTCTTTTCTGATCCAGGTGGTAATTAAATACTTTGCCATTGTAGCTGAAGCTGAAGATATGATTTTCCCAGCAGAAGATATTTTTTATTCTGCTATTATGTGTGTAAAAGAAGGTGCTTAAATCATCGTAGTTATTCCTTTTTGAAGAATATATGGCAGAGTTCCTTTTGTCAATCAGGAGGAAGAATTTTTCGTGAGAAATTATTTTGCTTATGTTGACTTGGACAGACACGTCTTTTTCCAGTTTGATGATCAATTGTTTGTGAGCGGGAAGGTTGGCTCCGCTGAATTGGCAAGCCCATCTGGAAAGAGGGGTGTGAAGGTAATACATCATCGATGTGCTCACCAGGTGGCCTTCTAACCCAGTGGACTTCTGACCAGGTTTGCTTCTCACCGCAGAATTTACTTACAATTTGAGAGAATCTCCATCCTTGGTAGTTATGTACCCATCATAGTAATGCACGTAGGAGATATTTCTGTGGAAGTGAATTTCTCCATTTTCATTTTTGATTATCCATTTGTCTACGAGGTCCTGTAATGTGCATGCAGAATAGGCATCTCCCTTGGATTACCTATTTTGACTAGTTAGCAGTGGGGGAGGGGCGCTCCATCGATTTTCACATTGGAACGTTAGGCTCTATGCGGGACGTAGTTGAATGTGCTCCCCCCGGTCATCCCACCTCATAGACGGACTAACCTTTATTAGGAAGAGTCTCCCGTCGGATGTTCCGATGAGGATGTTCCTCTCGCAGAACCCAAAGCAGTTCACTTGCACCGTTGGGTCAATCTCCAGGTTCTTCTCTTTCATTTTAAGGCCTACATAAAGGGGGGTGGTGGAGGAGAAGGAGGAAGCGGGGCATGGAAAGACGTCATTATGCGGAGGGGGAAATCAGTAATTAGTTCAATTCGTCATGAGAGGAAGCGGTTTGAGACGAAGCTGTGTCAGATGAAACCGTGTTCACGTTTGCCTAGCGGCTGGGAGGAATTTCCCCCGCGGTGCACAAAGGCGAACGCCCACCCGTGTAGGTCCGCTCCAAGTTCCATAAAAAGAGCTTCCTCTTCCGCAAAATTAGAAAAAAATCGTAGTACCTAAAAGGGGATAAATAAGAAGAGGAGAGGTGCACATGTTCCACAGAAACCGTGTCAATCCTGTTTCTCCCTTTCGAGGAGGAGCATCTTTGCTCCATTTGATGTGCAGCTATCTTATTCACTTTTACAACGGATTCATTACTGTGCAATGTTGCAATATTCCAGATGCAGATACATATTCAGAATGAAAGCTTTCTTTTCTGAATCCAGAACCTTCAGAACCCGTTTATTCGTTATCAACACGAAATATTTATTCTCCTCCTGAACGTAGACCTTTTCGTAAAAGTCATGGTCATCTAATTTTATTTCTTCTTTCAGGGTTTGTCTTTCTGTGCAATATATCTGTATGCCTGCGTGGTGGAGGGGACAGAATCCGAATTGTACTACCCATGCATGTGTCAGATTAGATTTAACCCCTTAACTGGTGGGGGAAGCTTATCCGAAATTGGAACTATTGCAAAGGTAGTAGTCACGTAGATATGCGGCATTTGTGTGCGTACTGCTGTGCAGCACGTTGGAGGACCGTCGATTGCGACAGTCGAGTGGCTCCGTCGAGTGGCACTCTCCTAATCGATGTCTCCCCTCGCATTACATGAACATCGGGCGGATCCATACAAGACAACTATGAGCGAGTCCCCATGCAGGGACGAGCAAGTGATGACGTAATCATTCTTCGTGAAGAGACTCCTCAACGATTTTATTACAGGGTTGTAAATGTTGATTACATTGTGAAGGAAAAAGACGATGTTATAATTTTTGAGGATAAAAATATCGACGTCTAGGTTAACTCCATAGAGGTGTTTTTCTCTTATCAGGTTGTACCGGATGTGTTCTTCCTTGCACATGTGTGCTTCGCGATTTGCTTCCCTATCGCCTTCCCCATACGCCTCCCTATCCACTCCTTCCTCATATCTGCCCGTTTCGTCTTCTCCGGCATAGCCCTCCCCATGGGCAGAAGTGCCCAAACGGATAGTGTTCAAATTGGGCGTCTCCTCATTTCGGTTAATGGTGTTGAAAATGTTTCTTCTGAATTTACAAAAAACGGTGATTTTCTTGGAGAAAAGTGCAGACGTCTCCATTTTGGGAGCGTATACTCATGGCGTCTGCAATGCGAACTGTGCGCACGGCGTGTAATTTGCACCCAAGGGATGAGACGTAGGCAGAGTAACATCAGAGCTACAGTCGCTTTGCCCAGAAGGTTAATTTTTTCTCCCCTGAAGACCCTAGCACATGCTGTGCATTGTTTACGAGTGGGAAAAGAAAAACTGCTGACGATTCATTTTCTCGCAGTGATGGCGATTCCACGTTGAATTGAGAAGGAGAGTACGCACAAGAAAAACGCGACGTAGAGGTTCCCCGATGTAGAGGTTCCCCGACGTAGAAGTTCCCCCACGTTTATGCACACCTGAACAAGGATTTTTTTTTTTTTGCCCGCAAACACATGGGTCAATTTTGCCATAATTTTTTTCATAATTTTTCCCATGTGGGTTAAGATGGGCTGAAGACCCCTACAAGACATTACACTCTTACCATGTGGACAAGTCTAAGCTGTGGTTTTCCTTCCGGTTCTTCTTGAAACTTCCCGCGCACACATGACTGGTATATGTATGCGCGCGGGGAAGGGAAATCCGTTGGGGCCCCAATACGACTGCACTGTTCGGGGGAGGAGACACATACAAATTGGCATAAAACAATTTGGAATATTAAAGCTAATTATTTTTAAATAGGTTTTATTAAAAAGGAGAAGAAATGGGGAAAATCCAAGAGGAGAGAAAAAAAAAGTGCAGAAGGTGGACGGAAGGAAAGAGAAACGAAAAGGGCAATAATATGGGGAAAAAAAAAAGTCCCTGCTCATGCGGTAAGATAGTCGAACAGGGAAAGTATAAAACAAAAGGTTCCGTTTTAGTGAAGAGAAGCGGTTCCCTGTAACGGTGAAGACGCGGGGGGAAATGCCCACCACATCGTTCTTCACCACACACGGGAGATCAAATGGAGGAATGCGTCTCCTCTCTGAGAGTTGTTCCTGCCTTTTTACAGCTTCGGATTGTCTCGTGCACGCTGTGGTGGGTCTGCTCTGTCCCGCGGGACTATACCGCCGGATTGCCTTGCGTTGCGGGAAAACAGAGCTCCCGCCGCACGCAGACGCCACGCATGGCCGCTGCCTACTTGAGGTTCCACACTTCGATGTCCATGATGTGGAAGTCGCGACCGGCGGAGATGAGCGGTGGGGAGAAGAAGGACTCGGATGAGTGGGTTTTTCCAACCTTCACGTCCTTGTCGATAAACAAAGCGATGTCATTCCCGCCAATGTAAATCCCATCGCGTATAAGCACGAGGGTGTTATTCCTGCCTGACCACTTGTAAAATTTAAAATGGGTGTTAAAGGTACACAGAAAAGCAGAGCTCTTGTCGGAACAGTTAACAAAATTGAGATCTCTCGTGAGGGAAAAGGGACAAAAAAAACCCATCAAATCATAGTCAAAGGTTTTCAAAAGAAGTATCATGGGTTTCCTTTTATTCTTCTCTGTCCTCTCGACAAGCACTTGGAAGCTATACCCATCCTTCTTAGAGCAGTAGCTTAAAAAAGGATCCAGCGATCTGAAATTACTAGGAATCTTCTCCCATATATTTTGCCAGTGTAACGAATTTATCAATCTAGAGTTATCATTCAGTCTGGGTCTATAAAATGTTTTCATTTTAACATTCATGAGGTAGGGAGAGGGACATTTCGTCGAAAATTTCAGCTGCTTTTCTTTACTCTTTAGCTTAAATCGATAAGCAATCTGTGTCAGCTCATTAATCGTTAAGTAAGGATGCATGCAAATGTGATATAGTATATTCTCCACTTCTTCTATATTTGTGCACTTCAATAAATCATTCTCGAAAAATTTTAACAAAGCAAGACAGTAGAGACATAAGGTCTTCTGTCCTTCGAAAAGATAGATGCCATAAATCCTTAGGACAAAATCGAATGGTAGCATACGAGAGAACCCGTCCTGGATACATCTTGCCGTCCATGCTGCTAAGTCAAAATTTAACTTCCTCAGATAATGGTAACATTTAGGAAGGAACTGAATGAAGGAATTTAAAATGTATTTTACGTATTTGACAAAATCTTTTCTTTTATAGATAAAGAAGGGCACTTCCTTGTTCTTGATTGTGTCGATTCCTTTCTTTATTAGACAGTGAATGATGCAGTACACGACGGATGCTTTGAAATAGATTAGCAATATAATGCAGAGGTTTGGAATGATTGGTGCGAATTCGATGTCGTTTCCGAAATTGTTGTTTATGGCCCATAGGAGCTTCTTAATTTCGTGCTTGCCATTATCGTTGAGCAGCGCTGTCAACTCCGTCGCGTCATCTAGATTGTACACATTAGGCGGGGCGGCGGCGGACGCGTTCACACCATTCGGACCGCTGGCACCGCCGTCTCCGTTAGTATTTCTCATCCCATTAGCGCTGCTGACATTTTTCGCGCTGCTACCCCCATTTTCGTAAAACTTGCTGTACAGCTCCTTCTCCAAGTTAGGGTTATCCTTACTGTTGTACTCCACGGCGGCATACCTTTTCTCCATTCTGTTCGTGGCCCTATCCTCGTGGATCTGCTTCTCCCGCGGGGTCTCCTCCTTCCCGCTAGCCGTGGCTTTCATTTCCGTCTTACCCACATTCTTCTCCTTATAAACTGACCCCTTCTTGGGGTCCGCATTCGCCCGATTCTCTGCATCACTCGCCGCGTCGGCATCCTCCCCGGATTCATACTTAAAATTGATTTTCTTCTTCCTCTTCGTTTGATCTGCAACCCTGGCGTCTGTTTTGCGTACTTGGCTTCCTTGGCTTCTTTCGCTTCCTTGGCTTCCATCGATCCCTTCGCTTTCTTCGCCCCTTTCCCCGTTCAGCGGGTGGCTGGCCGGCAGATGGAAATTTTCCAATTCGTCCGCGTCATCCTCGTCCATCACTGTCCCGATTTCTTCCTGTGGTGATCCTCGGCCCATTCCCCTGGGAGGATAATTGACCAGGTTTCCTTTCATGCGAGAGGATGCTGATGGTTCCTTCTTCCCTGATGTTCCTCCTCCCAATTTCGTCCCTCTTTCAAAGGATAAGCAAAATGGAGGACTCGTTTTTGCCACGTTGGAAAAGAACGTCTGCTTGTTGTCTTCCTTCTTTTCTACACCAGCATCGTCCCAATGCTGATGATCCTTCCTTTCGTGTTTGCTAATGATGATTCGATAGTTTTCCTTCCTGGTTCTACCAACCGTTTCGATGCGTCCCGGGGAAGGGCTTTCCTGATGGCGACTCCTCTCCGACAGTCCGCTTCCCCTGATGGAAGTAAACGTGTTATATTGAGTAACCATCCCTGTTTTGTTGGGGCTGGATGAGAAAGCAGCCCCACGATCTCCATTCTTGGTATGCTTCTCCGCTGTGGTTCTCCTGTCCTGATCCTGCGGCTCCTTCCGATCTTCGGACACATTCCCCGTGTGGAAGTTCTGCTTTTTCCTTCCACTTTGGCTACCCTGATATTCTTCGCTCCTGTACCCATTGGCAAATTCGATCACTTCCGCGTCGAAATCTTCTGACTTTTTCTTTTTATAAAAAATTTTTTTCAATTTTCCAAAAAGCGACTTCGTCCCTCGGCCGTTCTTCTTCCCACGGTCGATAACCCGATGGTGGACATATTTTCCGTCCAGATGTAGAGAGTCGGTTCGCTTATTCTCCGTGTCTTCCTCGTTAAAGTCGCTCAGTTTCACGATGGATTCTCCGTCGTCCTGCTCGTCTACGTCGTCCTCCCTTTTCCTTTGCGTCCCATCATCGGATGAGGTACCTTCTGCTTGAAGGGAGGTCCGCGCGGACTCTCCGCTGCGAGTGTTGGGGCTCCATGCGCGCTGGGCCGCTGAGCTGGTTGATTGGAACGTAGCAGTTGGTAGGTCATTCTGTCTACCACGTTGACAGCCATTCTCTTGGCCATCCTGTCCGCTTCTTTTTGGAGATGACGAGCCGCCCACGCGGAGCTGATCCCGTGGCACGTCGCTCTGATTCTTCTTCCTCCCCTCAATGGAAGTGCCATTATCCACGCCCGCTTTTTTCCAGTGCGGAATTAATTTTCTCTTTTCCCTATTGTCCTTGCTCAGGCTTTTTTTTAGCAAAGAAGAAATGTGATCGGACAGCTTCCTTTCATTCTTCTGATTTTTCCTCTTTACACTGAAGGCGTTTTTTAAGAAATTCCTTGTGTCGTTATAACTGGAATGTTTCTTTACACGATAAGTGGAGATGTTTTCTCCACTTCGGCTTCCGTACATCTCAGTACTTGCACTTCCACCATTTGCCAGGGAATCATCGGAGTCGTGAATCCCTGTCTGGTGCAAATTTCCGTCATAATGTGACTTGGCTTTTACATTATGGTAATTTCCTTCCTTTTCTATTTTTTTCTTTCTTGTTGTCCGTAAGTACAATTTCGCTTTGTTCATTTTCTCTGCCTGCTTTTTGCTTATAATGTACTGCTCTGTCATGTAGCACTGGATGTGCAGGTACTTATTCGACTCGTATGGTTCCCTATTCGAGTCATACGGTTCCCTATTCGAGTTGTACGGTTCCTTCTTCGATTCGTACGCCTCCTTATTCGATTCGTACGCCTCCTTATTCGATTCGTACGCCTCCTTATTCGAGTCCTGCCCTTCCATCTTAGTGGAGTGGAAAGAATCCTTCCCCATTCCGCCAATGACTTGGTCACCATCCCCATCGGCACCGCTAACCCCACTGGAGTGATCCCCCCCCTCTACCTTCTCATAGTCAGTTCTTCCTTTGGCGTAGTCCGCTGCCCCGCCTCTGTCATTCTCCGGTCCACCGGTGTCGAAATCCAGCCCGCTATTCGTATCATCTGCTCCATTATGAAAGATAATTATGTCATCCTTGATGAGAATATTTTTCTCGCTTTCGCTACAGTTGGACACTTTAAAACTGGACTCCTTACGGAGTCTTTCTCCATTGGTAGATCCACTTTCGACGTTTTTCCCTCCTTCTTCCTCTATGTTTTGCTTCCCTTCCGTCAATTTGTCGATCATACCAGCAACACAGGTGTGAGCATTCACAGTACCACCTCCCGAGTTGGCAACATCGTCCTTTTTTAAATTATCACTATTCGGATTATACTCTACCTTTCCGGTGTGACCATTTTGTGGAGTCTCGCACCCCTCTAGCTTCTCCACCCTATTCTTGTAAAATCGACTGGACAGGTTTCTAAAAATGAAGTTGTCCGAATAGGGGAGGACCGAATCGGATGCAACCCTCAGATAGTTGTCGATTCTCTTATTCTTTAGCAATTTATTCTTCACATTTTCAATGTAGAAGAATTTTTTTTTTTTTTTTTATTTGTGAACCCAAAATTTGGGGTACTCAACGTTTTGGGTTCTATCCAAAAGTTATGTTCAGGTAGCAGATACTGGTCCTTCTTCTTCTCGTTCTCATTTGGATGGTTAAATAAAAGTTGTAAAATGTTACTCGTCGAATCATTAATATTGAAATTGCCGTAGTCGTCATTGTTTTCAATTTCTATCTCCTCTATTTTGGTCTGCACACACATAATGTCTTCCTGCAGCCCCAGGATTCCCCCGCAGAATGTTGGGCAGTCGTTAAACAGAATGGACGGGATCTTATCTCCGAAGGTGTTATAAATGGTCGTTTCGTAGAAGTGCGGGAAGTTTATAACGAAGTAGTTGACGTCGTTGGAACGGACCCAGATCAGATGTTTCAGCGAATCGGACACGCCTCTGCGGAGGAAGAAAAAAAGGGGGAAGGTAATCACATGGAGTGGAAATATACGTATGTAATAGTGCAAGGATACGTATATCATATTGGAAGGATACGTATGTCATAGTGGAAATATACGTATGCCATAGTGGAAGGCTAAACTGTAGGGATAATGGCGACATATTCGCGCCTCTCTCACAACACGGGCTAGCTGCTAGCCCATCGCTCTCCACGACGGTGGCACTCATTTCATACCTCCTCAGCAGGTGTTTCACCTCCTTGTCCATCAAATTCGAGTCCGCGTTCAAGACCAGACTGAGCGATCTGTCATTCCAGTGGCTGTGCTCGTCCTTCTAATGGGGGAAGAAGAGGCGAAATGTTGGGGAAAAAATGAAAAATATGCGGTAGAGGGGGGGTAAAGATATGTGAACGTCTCGCCAGGGCAGTTTCTGCCGAGTGAAACCCTCTTCTGATTGGGCAGCCTTGGTTATTGGGACTCTGTGTGGGGAGCACTTTTTTGTCGATGGAGGTATTCCTCTCCGGCTGGCATAGCTCCTGCTCGCAACTCACATCCGTGTTAGGATTCCTCCATTTTTCGTAGACCTCCAAGTTCAAATAGACGTTGTTGTAAATGTGATTTTTGTTTATCAGATGGGTGTATCTATTTTTCTGCGATTGAAATATCTCGTCTGTTTTCGTTGCCCTATATATTTTTTTCATTTTATGTAATTTATTTTCTACATTTTTTTATCGATACGTATGGTTCTGGCGCGGGGAGGGGCGTGAACAGGCGTACACATAGTTATGTGAAGGAGGGGGGGGACAGGCGTGGGTCCGCCGTCGCGAAGTAGGGAGGCATCAAATGGGATGCATCCAACAGTGCGCCGCCACCCCAGGGGATAGGCGGAAACAAAGAAAGGGGGTCCAAAGGAAGGCGGTCCAAAGAACAGGGAGTCAAGAAAAGTTACTTGGAATGCTTTTAAAATGGAGAATGGGCTGTGCGTGCACACAGACATGGCGACGAGTCATACACTCGTGTACCTCCACCTGCTCGCCCGTACGAGAATGTACATGCATAGGCGCAGGGACATATCCGCACATTTGTGGAAAGGGGGGGAAACTTGCATATATGTGTAAATAGAACTACAATAAAGAAAGGAAAAAAAGAGGAAGAAAAAAATTTATAATTTCATAAACATTTAAACTGAGATAAGACAATATGGGGGAAGGGAGGGGAAGAACTTTTAATCATAAATAAAGGGGGGAGGCGCACACTCTCACATGCGAGAAGTGTGTTCCTATAGGGATAAGTGAATATAAACAGACGCACATCAGAAGGCACATATGAGAAGGCAGTTATGAACAGGCACATAAAAACCGCCACATAGAAACAGCCACATAGGAACACGCTCATGTGTACACGCGCATGTTTGTCCTGTGTATGGACGTGTTTTAAAAATTAAGTGGACGCACGAAAGTGGACTTATGCGGGGAATGCTTTTATACGCATGGGGAGGTACATTTGACCCCCAGGGCGGATGAGGAGGTAAGGAAGCAGTAGAAAAAGGTAACGCAAATGTGCGTGTAACGAAAGGTAACATAAAGGAAAAAAAAAGTGTAACGAGAAAGATAACATACGGGTAAGGAAAATATGACGAAACGGGAAAATAAAAAAAAGGTAAATGCAAAAAGTTGAAATAAAAAAAGAAAAAAAAAACACAAAAAATCCTAAAAAATGAACAAAAAAAAAAAAAAGAAATGAATGAAAAAAATGAAGCGAAAAGGGATTGGGGGGAAACGTAAAAAAAAAAAAAAACGAAAAGGAACCGCAGTAAAAGGCGAAGAAAGCGAAATTTAAAAATTAAAGCTGGAATGAAATTTAAATTAAAATAAAAAGAAATTAAATTAAAATAAATTGAAATTAAGTTGAAATTAAGCTGAAATTAAATAAAATGGAAAAACCAAAAGGAACTGCTTCGCTTTTCTCTTAATAGACAAATACAGGCAAAATGGCTACTCCGCTTGTTTAAAGTATTTAAAGAATGAAAAAAAACCAAATTTAGTAAAATAGTTGGTTCATAAATTAGGGGATTCATAAGTTGATATAATGAGAACATGATGAATCGATAAAAGGATAAATCGATAAAATGATAAATTGATAAATCGCTAAATTGCTAAATCGATAAAATGATAAATTACTGAATTTAGGCCCTTTCTTCTTCAGGAAAAAATTGCACATTTTGTTGCATAAGATGAGGGGGGGAATGGACGGACGTGTGTACGGTGTGTAAATCGCAGGCGCGAGGGGGACGCACCATCAGACGCACAGACGAACGGATGAAGTTAACAGTGCGTCATGGCGTGGCTGTGTACAGTTGCACCTACAGTTTAGCCAGTGTGTACTGGGAAGTGACTGGAAATTCAGGTCACAATTTGAACAAAACGAAAAAAAGGGGGAGGACACACGAGGGGGGCGTTCGAAATAGCGGGCTGGCATGGAAACATAAAAAAGAAGCCCCACGGGGAGGAAGCGTAGAAATGGTAGGGGGAAGACGAAGGGTAAGAGGCTTATGAAAGGCATGAACGGGATGAACAGAACGGGCGACTGGGGCAGGAACGCGCAGAGTGTGTCGCTCAAGGGGTGCTAAAGGTAGGCTTCAAGGGGAAGGCAAAAGCGGGCCTTTAAGTGCGCGAAAACCTTCATCTTGCACCGCAGAACGAAGAAAGTTGAAAGAGCAGTGGGCGGTTACAAACGAAGGTGGACAAACAAGCACGAGGGCGAAAAATGGTTGCAGATGTCACAATTACAGCCATCGAACGCAGCGGGATGAGCGATACAGGCCATGAAAGATGGACCTACATAGATAAACACAGATTCTACATGCACACATGGGTACATGCTACCGCGAATACGCAAAAGGATGTGGTGAGTCGGGAGCCCCTATTATCTCCGAAACTCCTCCCATCGGGATACACTCAACAGATACATGCAAGGGATACACCCAAATGAACGTTTCATAAATGGCCACTCGACGGAGGCGTCAGGCTCGCAAGCAGATGCACGAGGATTCACTTACATAATTATTCACCCATAAATGGGCATCTCATACACGCTGACTTTTGAAGTTGACTTTTCGCGCTGACCTTTCGGGTTCGCCTCTGTACACATATATGCGGCTAAGTGAAATGCAGGACTATAAATTTTGCTGCATGGCGAGTTAGAAATGGAATTATAAGTTTTCCCTTTTCCTTTTGGAAATCCGCACAAGGGAGATAAACCAAAAAAGAAAGGGAGGCAAAGAAGGAAGAGAAGGCAAGGAAAGCACAGCGAGGGTAAAGAGGTTGAAGAAGGGCAGGCGTGCTTCCCAAATGGAAGATGCAAGAAATGTACAGAGGGGGAT